AGGATGGGGGGGCCATGGCAGGTAGCGGAGAAGGGCAAACGGGGGACCAGGAAGTGCCGCAAAACTGGCTGCAGGCCTTGAATAAAAGTAATACATGCAGGGGGCGGGGGGGGGGCACAGGCTGGGCTCTAGCATCTAAATGACGGACAGTGGCTAGCTTAGTGACTCCATCTTGTGCAGAAGCCCCTCCCCACTGGCACCCTCACCTCACTATTGCCCACGGCTCTTCCACCCTCTCCTGGACCCTTCCCCAGCTGGGGGGCAGGGGCACAGAGCCCCTGCTCCCCCTTCCCTCTTGTACCTGGAGTCCCTGCTTAGAGGCCGCGCAGGCACACCACCCTTGCCACAGACATGGCATAACCATCGGCCCAACCAGTGCGCCACAGAGTCCATAGCAGCGGTAGCCACCAGACCCCGGATTGGGGGAGGGGCTCGTGGAGTGTCCAAGCAAGCGAGGCCCACCCACCCCCACCCTGCCTCAAGTCCCCCTTGTGCGCCCGCTGCGCTTCTGCCGTCTGGGATCGGGCCGTTCTTCGCCTCCTGGGAGGCTAACACCAGGGGTCCCGGGAAGCCCGGCCACGACACAGGCTGTCGCTGCGCTGCCACATGCTGTGGATCAAGCTCAGCGCATCCTCGCATTTCTTCCGAACGGAGCCGTCCTCGACGGGCTTGTGCGGAAGGTCCACCTGCGACACGGCGGGGCAAAAAGAGCCGTGAGGGGAAGGGGGACAACGGGGGGGGGGCGCCGTCTGGGGGGCCCTAGGTCTGCAGAGCCGGGCCACCCGCCACCAGATCGGCCAACCTGGTAGGTGCTCTTCCACACGGCGTCCAGCACCAGCAGGAACCGCTCCAGTTCTGCGGGGCAGCTGAAGTAGAGGACCCACGGGGGCAGGTACTGCTTCTGCTCCTGAGCAAACTCCTAAGGGCGAGAGAGGAACGCTGGGTGGGACCCTGGGCCTCCTGATGCAGCAGGGTCGAGACCCTCACTTAACAGATGAGACCCAGTCCCAAGGCAGCCCCTTTGTTCTGAGAGCCCAAGCCACGTTTCTTCTTCTTCTTCTTCTTCTTCTTCTTCTTCTTCTTCTTCTTCTCCTCCTCCTCCTCCTCCTCCTCCTCCTCCTCCTCCTCCTGTCTTTTCTTCTTCTTCCTTCTTCTTCTCCTTCTCCTCCTGCTCTTTCTTTTCCTCCTCCTCCTCTCCCTCTTATTTATTTATTTATTTTATTTATATTTGGATTTATATCCCGCCCTTCTCCCGTAGGACTCAGGGCGGCTGACAATCTATTTAAAATACATACAAAACAATACAAATTTAAAATTAATTAAAAGGAATATTTAAATATTTGTCGAATTTAAAATATAATTAAAACCCCCCTAAAAATTACCCTAGGCCAGTCCTGCAAGCTGGAATAACCAAGTCTTGAGGGCGCGGCGAAAGGAAGGGAGATCAGGGATAATCCTGATCTCTGGGGGCAGTTCATTCCAGAGTTCTTCCTCTCCCTCCTCCTCCTCCTCCTCCTCCTCCTCCTGTAGACTCACCAGGAGACAATATTCCCGGCCGGCCTCCGTGGAGACGGAAGCCACCTCCGCCAGCTCAGCGGTGGCCAGTGAGCGGAAGAAGCTGGTCTGGCAGTCCTCATGGCAGGTGAACACTTTCTGCTCCGTCACCACCAGGCAGCAGGGGACGCAGGGGGCGGGGGCCACGCCCTGGGGGACCACCTGGGTGGGAAGCACAGGCAAACCACCTTTGGCGCCCCTGAGGGCGAGAGGGCTCTGCTCCTGACCCTCCCTTCCGGTTACCAGGAAGCACAGGAGCAGCGGGGACCCCCGCCGTCCCCCGTGGTCCCAATCCCAATTGTATTATATCATTGTTTTAAACTGGCTGTAAGCCGCCCTGAGTCCTCCGGGAGAAGGGCGGGGTATAAATTTAATAAAATCAAAATCAAAAAATCAAAATCCCAAAGGGTGACCTTACCCCTTGGGAGACCGCCTGGCATAAGTACTGCATCCAGTCGGCCATCTCCTCTTCGTTCTCTGCACTCAGCTCCAAGGAAGGGCGGTCCGTCAAAATGACCTGGAAGGAGTGAGGCCGGTCCGTGGCGCTCGATCTTCGGCACCCGCCACACTGCTCCCCCCTGCAAGGGGTCAAGAGTTTGTGGCAAATAAGACTGAGGGGCCAGAACCGGTGTGTGTCTATGTGCACCCTGGGAGCCTGCCCCATCTGGGACTCACCCCATATTCACAGCCAGCAGCGGGGTGACATCTGTCCGGTCTGGATACTGATACAAGATGTCGTTGCTGAAAGGGAAGACAGAAGCAGCTGGTGGGAAAGGGCCCCTCCCAGCCCACAGCAGGGGAACTTTGAATTAGCATATGCAAATTAGAATATGCAAATTAAATGCCCCCCCCCTCTGTCCTCGAGAGGGCCGGACAGGCCCTCTTATGCTGTCACCAAGAGTCCAGCCCAAAGTAACTTTGGGATTATACATGTAAAAGTCGATGACACCAGAAAAGCTGCAACCAGGGCATAGGAAGAGGTTTGTTAGAGCAACTGACAGAAAAAGGTATCACTCTAGAAATAAAAGAATGGAGGCCTTTGAACTCTGGTGCTGGAGAAGACTCCTGCGAGTCCCCTGGACTGCAAGGCGATCAAACCGGTCAGTCCTGGAGGAGATCAACCCCGATGGCTCTTGAGAAGGCCAGATCCTGAAGTGGAAACTCAAGTACTTTGGCCACCTAATGAGAAGGAAGGACTCCCTGGAGAAGAGCCTGATGCTGGGAAAGATGGAGGGCAAGAGAAGAAGGGGACGACAGAGAATGAGGTGGCTGGATGGAGTCCCTTAAGCAGGCGGCCTGAGCTTAAATGGACTCCAGAAGATGGTAGAGGACAGGAAGGCCTGGAGGAACGTGGTCCATGGGGTCGCAATGGGTCAGACACGACTTTGCAACTAACAACAACAACTAAAATATTACATGACAAAAATACAGATATAAGAACAGTTTGGGTTGCAACTATAACTCTTACACAGAGACGTTCCATATAGCGTAAGAGCAAACTCGAAAAAAAGACATAGGTGATTAAAGATCAGATACAAACAAAAAGCGAAAGAAAAATTAAAGAAATTCTGCAAAGAGAAAATTATTTCATTACATATTAAACTCTTAAAAGAACAGTTGCCCTTGACGGCGGTAAAGAGAAATGAAGGTTAAAATTAGCTGACTTTAAAAATATCAAAACCACCTGATGGAAATATCGTTAACACCGGATAAAGAGGCAAAAAAACACTTCAGCAATGCTAGTCTAAATTATTTAACAATCACCCTGGCAAAAAGGCTGATGAAGGCTGAAAAGAAGCAAACTTTAACCAAAGATCACAGAAAAACAGAAACGCTTAATGAATAGATCTCTATGACTATGCTGGCAAAAGCTGTAAAATGGGTCAAAATCAGGAAAGCGTCTGGATCGGAGGATTTACGGGTCTCTTTCTGTAAACTTTTTGAGGACGAAGTTCTGCAATCTTTTCAACAGGTGACCAAACTCCGTTCTACCCAGTGGGAAGGGACCAGACAGGTGGAATGAGGCTCAGATGGTATTAATGTAGCATATCTTTGCAATTTCTTCTTCGCTGTTTAGCATTCCTGTTTATTATCTTTATTTTCTCTGACGGTTTTCACTTTGTTAAGAACGTCTTCGATAATAATAATAATTTTTTAAAAAAGGAACCAAAATCTAGCCAGCCCTCCTCCCGGCCCCGGCCACAGCCTCCTCACCTGAGCACCACAAAGCAGGACTTCCAGACTTCCTTGCCCAAGTAATTGTTTCCTGCCTTGTAATTCAGCACACCTTCCTTGAGGATGGAGTTTTCCGCTGGTGCGTAGTGAGAGGAAACTGGGCCAGAGGTCTCGTCCATGGGGTCTTCCCAGTGAACAAGGCCGTAGAAGTGGACGATTACCTCTGAGATCTACCAAAGACAGGCAGGCAGCCGCTGAGCCAGGCTCTCAGCCCCCAAAGAAGTCCCCCTGGCTTGGCCTTTGGCCCTCCCCCGAATGGAGACGGGGTGCGGGTGCCTCCCACAGAGGAAAGGCTGCCTGGGGTTGAAGGGAAGAAGGACAGCAGAAAGGCGCACCTCCCGCTTGGACTCCTGAGCCACAAATTTGGCCAGCGCCAGTTTCTCCATGGTGGCATCCGTCAGGATACTGGGGTACGGCGGCTCGCGGCAGCCTTTGATCATCGCGGACTTCAGGGAGGTCAAGAAGAACCTGGAGAGGGAGAGGGGCATTAGGACCCCTGTGCCCAAACATCGAAGCAGGGGACCTGGATTGAGCACAGGGACTAAAAGAGAGATGAAGAGACCACATTAACTGGGGTGTGGAGGGTAGAACACCCAATTGTGAAAATTATTCCCCCCTACAAAGAATAACCCTACTAGTTGGCATTCTCTGGGCACCATCCTCGCCATCCCAGCAGCTGTTAAGCTCGGGGCGGACGAGGCCCGCCCAGCCCTTACTCAGTCAGGGTAGCATCCGCTGTATCCAGCAGGAACTGCTTCCGACGGTTGGTGCAGACCAAGCTCACCGTCTGCTGATCGAGGCCCACCTGCCAGGAAAAAGAAACCGTTCGGAGGGGGTCGCCCTTGGCCTCTGGGAGGGGAGGGCTCAGCCCCTGCAAGTTAGGAATTTAGGGCCACTGGTCTTGCCCAGAGAAGAAGCCTTCTGGAGGGGTGCTCCCCGTGTTCCCGCAGAGCCCCAAACCGCCACTCACCGAGATGTAGTCCAGCTCATTGTAGGACACAGCCTCATCCACCAAGTAGGGCTTCTCGGCAGCTCCTGGGGATGGGAAAAGCAGGGCAGAGGGTCAGCTGCGCAGTCGGACTCTCCCCCGGGGAGCCCACGGCTTGCTCCAAGGGGGTTCCCACCCCGAGCAAGGCAGGTGGCAACCCAGAGGGCCTTCCTTCCATGGGGGGATGATACCTTTGCGGATGAGGTACATGTAACAGTCGGTCAGCAGCAGGTAAAGCAGCTGGAGGTTCCCTTCCATGTGCCCTGTGCTCATCCGGATCATCTGTTGGGGAGAGAGGCCTCCGTTACTGACCCACAGCGACAGGGGTGCGAGAAGAGCTGCTCCTTCAATCTGGAGAGGGCTGCTCCGCGGAGTGCCCAGGGTGTGTGTGTGTGGGGGGGGAGAAACACGCTCACAAGGGGCTCCCCTTCTGGGCAACCGGACGTACCCGGAAGAGCTGCTCCTCGTTCTCGCGAAAGACGTGGATCATCAGGAGCAGCAAGTGATTGTTGTCCACCCTGCAGGGAGGAGGAGAAGGCCCAGCCGAGGGTCAGGCGGGAGGGAGAGCCGGCCGGTCCCCCCCCCCGCCCTCCTTGACCCCCATCACGAGGTGGCTTTCTCCAAGGAAGAAACTGTGGAACGGCAGGGATCAGCAGGAAGGAGAAAGCAAGACGGTGCCAACTAGGGACGCCTCTTTACGTCCGTGAGATACAAGGACTAATAAAGGAGAACATTGTTAGCTCGGGGCTGAAATCAGGGGGGCCTCGGTGCTCTCTGAGCTCGATGGTTTTCTGGCAGACGTTTCATGGCCCCAAGTGGGCTACATAATAATAATAATAATAATAATAATAATAATAATAATAATAATAATAATAATAATAATAGTGATCATCGCACAGTCAGCCAGATGTTCAGACTGGATTTGGCATTTTTCTCTACCTATCCTTCCCAAGGACCTGGGATAGGCAGATCAAACATCCACATCTGCCTATCCCAGGTCCTTGGGAAGGACTCGATAGGTAGGCAAAAATGCCAAATCCAGTCTGAACATCTGGCTGACTGTGCGATGATCAATAATAATAATAATAATGAAGTTGGAAGGGACCTTGGAGGTCATCTAGTCCAACCCCCTGCTCAGGCAGGAAACCCTATATCATTTCAGACAAATGGCTGTCCAGTCTCTTCTTAAAAACTTCCAATGTTGGAGCATTCACCGCTTCTGATCATGCCATAGCACTGGTGATGTTACCTAGTTTGGGTCATGAAACGTGTGCAAGAAAACCACCAAGCTCAGAGAGCATCAAGGACCCCACAGTCCTTTTCCTCCTCCCCCTCTCCTCCTCTCTGCAAACCCCCCTCCCTTATAGACTGATAATGTCACCTAGCTGGGTTATGAAACGTCTGCAAGAAAACCACAAAGCACTAAGGACCATTCAGTCCTCCTCCACAAACTCCACTCCCTTCTAGCACTGATGATGTCACCTAGTTGGGTCATGAAACGTCTGCCTGAAAATCACCAAGCTCAGAGAGCACCAAGGACCCCACAATCCCACTCCTCCTCCTCCTCCCTTCTAGCACTGATGATGTCACCTAGTTGGGTCATGAAACATCTGCCAGAAAACATCTGCCAAGCTCAGAGGGCACCTCAATACAAGGAATGGAGGGCAAAGGGTGCCGAAGCGGCCAGGAGGAGGAGGAGGAGGCAGGGACTGTCCGACGGAAGGTCAAAGGGCCCCCAAAAGCCTCTTAACAGTTTCTCGGTACACGCAGGGTGGGATGCCGCCACCATGGTGCCGAGCCCCAACTTCTGCTCTCCACTGGATGCCGGAAACAGGCTGTGACTCCCCTCCTTTGGAAGAGGCCGGAGGAAAGAGGGGTGGCCGAGCGCTGCGTCCCTCAGGTGGAGGAGGCCTGGCCGAAGCGAGAAACCAGCCCTTACCTGAACTCCGAGGGGTGGGCAGCCTCGGACGGACTGCCCTGCCCCTCCTCCACCCCGGAGTCCTCGGCGCTGCTCGGGGAAGGGCTCTCCCGATCCTCCTTCAGCCTGCTGAGGGCCACCGCGCTAGCCATCTCCACCGCTTCTCCCGGCGAGCCGGCTACGGCCGGTCCAGCAGCCTCCCCCTCTCCTCCTCCTCCTCCTCCTTCTTCCTCTTGTTCAGAAGCTTCAGGGCCACCAGGAACATGTGGCGGTTGACCATCCCCTGAAGCGTCATGGTGGCCACTACTTGCTGCAGGAGTGTTTGGACTCTCGACGGTAAAGCGGTAGAAGTCCATGGGGGCCGGCAGCCCCTGACCAAAGCCGCCAAGGGGTGGCCCTTCCGAGGGGGCGTCCCTCGGCAAGTCAGTCCGAAAGGACTGGTCCAGGAGGTGGGGCTCCAGGCTGCGGCTCCACCCGTCGGTCTCCTCCAGCGAGTCGATGGCCTTGCTGAGGGCCTGCCCCACCCGCTCCATGGCCATGTCCTTCATTTCGGGGATCCGCAGGGCCAGCTGGCAGAGGGACGGCGTCTCCTCGGCGCTGACCGCCAAGTCGGACTCTGGGGCGGCCCCTGGCTGCCTGACCTCCTGACCCAGAGCAGGAGCGGGGAGGGAGGGGACGGCGGCCTCCTCCGATTTCACTTTCTTCTTCTTGACCGTTTTCTTCTTTTTCGCCAGCCTGTGCAAGGAAGAGACGTGTTGGTTAGAAAAGATAATTTTAGAAAACTGTAATCAATGCTGATATTCAACTGTGCATTTATTAACAACAACAAGAATTGTATTTGCTCAATGGGGGGAAAATGTTTATTCCTCGGAGAGGAGATATTGGGTGGTGTAAATATTGGACTTATGTGGACCACGGAATTGCTAAGGGACCCAGTCAACACGTCGTTTGTTGTCAAAATAGAAAATTAATAAACTATTTATATATATAAAAAAGGGGGGGGAAGTGAGTTCTCTGGCTGTGGGGCACCAGGGCGCAGCTGCAAACTGGGCAGGTTTGCTCAGGACTCAAGGACAGGTGGACGCCGGACCCCACTCTGGAGTCTCAAGCTGGACAGGGCCCGGGAGGCTACCGAGCCCAGATTTTTTCTTGCAACTCCTGGGCCCTCCACTTCAACATCCCCAAGCGAAGGAGGGCTCCCTGATGCCGAAAACAAGAGGAGAGGAGGGGTCCACAAGAGCCAGGGGCAGAGGCGAGAGCCAGATGGGTCCAAGCAATCCCCCAGCACAACCTGATGACTTCCAGCTCCGTGCAGCCCTCGGATTGATCGGTGCCGTCGGCCAGGAGGTCGGCCCTCAGCGAGGCAGCGTGCACTGGGGTGCTCTCGGCGGAGGACGGCCCTTCTGCCTTCCCGTTGAAAGGGTTGTAGCGCTGGGTGGGGCTTTTGGCCGAAGCCCGGCTGCCGTTCAGCTCGGAGGCCACGGAACGTGGGCAGCTGAGCGTGTCGGTCAGGTCTCCTTCTGGAAGGAAGGAAGGAAGGAAGGAAAAGGGGAAGGTCAGCCATCTCTTCCCCGGCTCCCGGGAGCAGCCAATTCAGAAGATGTGCCCCAGCTGCAACTCTTTGGCCCGTTGGATCAAGAAACTCAGGGATTCTCACACCTGGCAGGGGAGAAGGAAGGGCAGCTCCTTCAGTTTTCAGAATTCCGACAATCCTTGTGGCCCCCACAGAGCTGCAACTTAACAGCTCCTGGCTTGGGAATTCTATCCCGAGTTCACACCCTGTGACATCTTGTCGCTTTGCCCCACGGACTACGCACAACGAGGACGTCCCCTGCCCAGACCCACCGGGGGCTCCCATTCTCCGCTGGACCCCACGGAGCCCCCGATGTAGCCCTGGAGAAGGGCAGGAAGTTGTCCGCCTCCGGAGCAGCCCCCTTCGGCCGAAGGGAGACCGGAAAAGGGACGCTGCATCTTTGTCAGTTTTACAAGTGGGGAAGCATCTAGAGGTGGGGGGGGGGGCAGAATCAGGAGGCAGGCTCTGCTAGCTGTTCAACTACTCTTATTACAAAATTCTCTCTCTCCACCAGGAATCCTGCCTTCCACCACAAATTGAAGGAGACGGCACAAGCTAACCGGTGTAACTTTCCACCTCTTCCAAGTTCCCTCTGCAGGCAGAGGGAGCAGGGACTAGCCCAACAGTAAAACGAGCAGCAGCTGAGTTAGGGGCCCAGAGCCCACCCACCCACCCACCCGCCCTCCGTCTTAAGGGGCGCAGCGGGGCAAAAGCTGAGGGACAGCGAGGACAGAGAAAGGGCTGCAGCCGCCGCCGCCACCATCGCTAGCGAGACCCCTGCTTGGAAAGAGAGGCTGTTGGGAGAAGCATCCGTGGTTACGAAATCAGCTGGCTTGGGTCCATTGCCCCCCCCCCCCATGCACTGACAGGAGAGAGAAAGAGGTTAGGAAGAGACCGGCTGGCACCGACACAAGAAGCGCTTTTGTCGACAGGGGACAACTCGGAAAGCTTGTTAATGCGCAAACCAGAAAGACTTGATGGTTCATGCTGGGAGATGGAAGCCACAAAATAGAGGAGGGGGGGTTAGGTGTCCAGGAGGGCCTGGAGACCCCACTGAGGCAGGTGGGCCGGGCAGCAGATGCCCTGGGCTGAGGGCGCCAATTAAGCTGGCAAGGCTTTGCCACCGAAGAGCCCGGGGGGGAGGCCTGGCTGCTGGGCCCCCCACCCTGGTATTAAAGAGACCTGTGGCCCAGCATGCAGGAAGCGCTGGGGCAGAGAGAGAGCAGCGGGGGGGTGGGGGGTGGGGGAGGAACTGGAAAACCAGGGCGAGCTGGTCCCACCTTCCCATGCGGTGGTNGATCAACGGGGGGGGGGGAGAGGGAGGGAAGGAAGGGGGGGGAAATGGAGCAGGACAAGGGCAAGGCGGGGAACCCAATCTCTGCTCCGGCGGCAGGGCTGGGCTCAGTTGCGGATCCTGCTCAAGGACCGCGTTATCCTGAAGTTTTTAAAAAAGGGGTAGTTATCGGGAAGGTGCAAGCCTGCGGAGGCGGCAGGAGACTTTCTCTTCCTGGCTGTGCAGGGATCCCGCTGAGGGCAGAGCAGCTGGGGCTGGGGGGGGGGAGGCAGAGGACAGAAAGGGCCGATTCGGGCCGAGCGGCCCTCAAGGGGGATCAACAATCCAAGTGCGCTGATGGTATGGATCAAGGGAGGCCAGCTCTGCAATGGGGCACCTCAAAATACTGGCCCGCTCTGCAGATGACCCAGGCTTCCTCAGCACCCCCAGGCCTGCCCCCTCCCAAATGCCTGAGGGGCTCTGGAGACACTAGAGATGGAGTCTGCCGCTTGACCTGACGGTCATCTGGCCAAAGAAGAACTGCCCCCAGCCCCGTCCTGACCCTCCGTTCCTTTAATCTTGCCTGGACAGCCCTCAGTCCCAGGCAAGCGCTCCGTGGAGCCAGGACGTTGCCAGGCCATCCTGGGGCTGCTGCCCACCCTCGCCCCTTACCCTCGCTGGAGGGGGCGATGGCGCTGTCGTCCCACTCCAGGTTGGTGGAGGTCACCGAGTTGAAGGAGTTGAGGGAGAGGCTGTCCGACCCGTGGAGGGAGCCGGGCAGGCGGTCCTCGAAGTCCAGCAGGAACTGGGGCTTGTAGTAATCCGGCATGTAGGGGGCCAAGTCCAGGTAAGGGGCGTCCTGGAAAAGCAGGGGGAGTGTTAGGTGGAACTGCTGCCTGCTCCCCCCCCCCAAGAATTCCCTTTCCCAGCCTTCTTCTTTTTTTTTTTCCTTCAGGGATTTGGCCCATCGGTTGAGAAGAATCCTTTCGGCTTGGGAAAGCGGCCGCCTTTATAGGTCACAGGGAAATCCAGGCGTGGGAGGTGGCCCATCCCAGGGTGAGGAAGAAGTGGGAAGCTAGCTCCTCCAAGCAGGCCGAGTCAGCTCACCAGGTCCAGGTCGAATCGGATAAACTCCAGGCCCGCCACCAGGGTGAGGAAGAGGGTCAGGTGGTCGTGGCTGCAGACCAGGGCGTTTCTGCGGGAGGGGAAAGCCACCGCTCAGGATCCACGCGAGCGAAGGCAGTAACCAAGAAGTGGTCGCTCCTAACCTGATGCCCCGCTGGCTGGGAAGAGGCCCGCCTGCCCGTCCGTCCGAGGGGTGCTCAGTCCAGAGGGACCCCCACTCACACTCCTGCCACGCTAAGTCCTTAAGTCCTGACTGTTGCAGCAAGTCAGCCTTGGGGAACTAACTGCCGCCTCTAAGCTCCTGGGAGCGTCAGGAAGCCCCAATCCCTCCACCGTGTAGTTTGGGAAGAGGCTGTGAAAAGGGGACCTGCCTGTCTTCGAGCTTTAAGTCTGGCCAGCGACCCCTCTGGGAACAGCAGGCTTGGAGGAAAAGCTGCAAAGGCCCCGTTGTCTGTTTGGGGGAGGGAGGTCCTTCCCCTCCCCACCCCCTTCCCACAGTGCCGGGCCCGGCAGCCCAGCAGACTTACTTGACGTAATGCTTATGCAGCAGCGGGAGGTTCTCCTGGAAGAGGCGGAGGTAGCTCTCCAGAGAGTTCTCGTTCAGGGCCAGGTATAGCCATGCTCGGCCTGCAAGAGGGACAGGCTGGCTGTCAGGGGGGCAAGGACCCACCTGCCCGGAGTCCTTCTGGCCGGGACCTTCTCAAGGGCGGTCTGGGTGGAAGCCCCATCTCTGACGCCCAGGCTGCAGGTGGTGGGTGGCAGGAGGTGCCCCGAAACCCCTTGAGGGCTGGACCGGCTCCTCTGGGTGCTTGTCCGGCTCCCAGCCCAAAGCAGGGAGCACTCTAGTTCCCAGCCTTCTAACTGGAAGGACTGGGAGCTCAGAACCCTCCTGTCAACGCTGCTAACATGGCATGTTCTTGCTTTGACAATAGATGAAAATGCAGCCATTTCCCCCTTAACGTGTGTGCTACTTTTAGAGTTAGAATTAGATGATGCTGGCGGTGGGGGGGTGGGGAGAAGGAAGAATGTGTATGGGAATTAGTTAGACACAACAACCTGGTAGTAAGAGTGTTTTTCAAGGCTGTTTGAAACAAGAGATGATAAGGAATGGCCGGTGGGAGAACTGGAGGGAAGGTCATCATTTCAAACTAATCGGAGAATGTGATGTATGACTGTTAATTAGAGGAGGAAATTGTGCTTTGATGTTATGAGTTTAGGGGCCGGAGAATTCAGATTTTGGCTTCCACCATGTATGTGCCGATGCCATGTTATTTGAATATAGATTCTTTACGGTAAACAATGCCTCGTCCTTTGAAGAGTAACATCTGTCGGAACCGTGACACCTCACTAACAAGTACCTGCACATCCTCAGGGGCAGGCAAAGGCCCCTGGGGTCCTAGCGCCCGCCGGGCATTTGCTGACATGGGCCGCACAGGGCTGGCCAAAACAACGGGCTGAGACTTACTGCGCCCCAGGTTGGTGGTCACGTGCTCCAGCAGTTCGATCTGTTCGATGGCCTCTCGGCGGGTGAAGTGGACCACCAGGACCCAGTAGCCCGAAGGAAGGTCCTGCAGCCTGCCAAGGAGAAGGAAAGCCAAAAAACTGTTTTCTTCAGCACACCAGTCCTTTGCAGGTTCCCCGGCACAATACATCCAGGCCAGGGGTAGGCAACCTTGGGTCTTTTATGACTGGTGGACTTCAACTCCCAGAATTCCTGAGCCAGCATGGCTCAGCTTGGAAATCTCTCCCTTTCCCCTCAGCATGGCTGGCTCAGGAATTCTGGGAGTTGAAGTCCACCAGTCATAAAAGAGCCAAGGTGGGCTCCACTAGGCCACACTGACCCAGGAGACCCTACTGCAGTGGGCTGAGGATCAGACCCTCTTCCGGGCACCCATGAGGGCAGCGCGCTAGCAAGGAGCCAGCCGCTTGCCTCAAGGAAGGGAGGAAGGGCCCAAACCTGAGCCCCTGGGGTGCAGGCCCGTCCCCTGCCTGTGGCTCCCTCCAGGGGAAAGCGGCGGCCACACGGAGGCCCCTTACCCGTAAAGCAGGGCGTGATCCAGGTGTTCACAGAGGCGCTGCAGGACCGTGTCGTGGTTTCGGATGGCGGGCGTCTCGTCCTCGCAGGCGGCAAAGTAGCTCTGCAGCTGGAGAGACGAGCACATCTGGTGAGGGAGCCACAAGGCAAGCTGCTGGCTGTCATCCAGGCGGTACCATATGCGGCAGCCCCTTTCGGAGTTTCAGGAGGGAAAAGCTGAAAAAGTCCCTTTTCCCACTCTGCCTAGGCCAGGGGTAGGCCACCTTGGCTCTTTTATGACTCGTGGACTTCAACTCCCAGAATTCCTGAGCCAGCATAGCTCAGCTTGGAAACCTCTCCCTTTTCCCTCAGCATGGCTGGCTCAGGAATTCTGGGAGTTGAAGTCCACCAGTCATAAAAGAGCCAAGGTGGCCTACCCCTGGCCTAGGGCTGTTTAAGAGAGGTCCGCCTACCTCCGGTCCGGGTGGCAAGGCCCAATCTGCATCTTTGCAACTCGCTTGGCAAGTTCTTCAAAGCCCCTTGTAGAGGCCTGGCCCGCCTCGGCCAAAGCAGAGCCGAGCCGAGGCCCACGGGACGCTACGGGCTATCCTCAACTTACAACGTTTAGCGATCAGAGTTACGGCGGCACCGAAAAAAGCAACTTACGATTGGTTCTCACCCTTACGACTGTTGTAGCCTCCACACGGCCCTGAGGTCTAAAATTCAGGTACTGACTCACATTTATGACGACTGCAGTGTCCCCGGGGGTTGCACGGTTCACCCAGCCGCAGTCTGACTAATTTAACAACTGCAGCGATTCACTTAACACACAGTTAAGTGAATACTCCCTGAACAAACGTTTCATTTATCAGCAAAAATTCTGGGTTCGGTTGTGGATGTAAGCCGAGGACTACCTGTGCTTTCGTGCCAGCACCTGTAGTCTCCCCCCCCCATCTTCCTCTCTCTCCTTTATTCCTCTCTCTCTCTCTCTCTCTCTTCCTCTCTCTCTCTTCCTCTCTTCCTCTTTTTTCCTCTCCCTCTCTCTCTCTATCTTCCTTTCTCTCCCTTTCTCTTTTTTCCTCTCTCTCTCTCCCTCCCTCCCCCGAGGATGCTCCTCCTTCCAGCTGGACTCCACCTTGCCCGGGCAACAAGGAGAGCAGCTTCCCAGGCCAGGATTCCCAGCCACTCCTTTACGTGTCTTGGCTAGGCCCGAGAGGGAGTGGCAGCCGAGTCTGGTGATGCTTCAGCTCCAGAGAGAAATACGGGGGTGCCCGGGGCAGAAGAGCAGCCAGGCTCTCCACGAGGCACACCTCAAATGGCACCAGACACCCACAGCACTCTCTAGATGCTGGAGGGAGGCTCTGCTCCTGCCTGGGCTGCAGACCGTCAGGGCAAGAGAGGAAGCACCAAGGAGACAACAGCCTGGAAGCCATCAGAGGCACACATATCCTTAACAGACAAAATGGTGAAAGGTCCAGACGCTTTGCCGAGGAAGGATGAGGGGCTGCAATAAGCCAGAGGTCCCCAATCTTTTGGGCACCAGGGACCGGTTCCGTGGAGGTTTTTTCACGGACCAGAGAGTGTGTGGTTTTATGTGCTGCCTGCCTCACAAGGATGGGGCTTTGTTTGTTTGTGCGGACCGGTTGCTGGCATGCCACGCGGCTGGTACCGGTCCACGGACCAGGGGTTGGGGACCCCTGCACTAGTCCTGACAACCGAAAGCAATCCAGTTGCTGTGGAACTGGCACAGGCAGCAAACGGCCTGCTCGCTGGGGAAACTTCAGAAGGGTCCCTCGGCCGCGGCTTCTGTGGCTCTTGTGGAGATGGAAGCAGCAATTAGGACACCTCAGATCTATGCGGAGGCCTCACAAGTGGGACCTCTGAGAAAACTTTTGGCAGGCAGGACCTCTTCGAGTTCCTGTTCCATACAGCCACAGCATCCAAAATGGCCGAAACCCTATCAGGGTCAAAGAGAGAGAGCGAGAGCTGCAGATTCAGATCCAGAACAGGCCCCAGGACCAACAGCTCAGTGGCTGCCCAAGGATAAGGCCGCACAACAGACCGACTCCACAACCAACAGCAAAAGTGTCTTACCAGGCATCTCCCTTCTGCTGAACGGTACTGATTCACCTTGATTGACAGGCTGGATTCTGTTCCCCCTCCCCACATTAAGACTGTCAGGAAAGCTGGCTTAGCAGATGAAGCCACAGTTCAACCAGCTGCTCTAGGAAGCCGGCTACATGAAATCTCTTGGATGGGCAAAACGAAAGAGGCAACTGCCCCAATTCATCTACTACTACTACCACTACCACCACTACTACTACTACTACTACTACTACTACTACTAATAATAATAATAATAATAATAATCTATATAAATAAAAATGTAAATGTTCGTTTGTTCAAAATCTTAAATCTCCGAAAGTTCTTCACCGATTGCTTTGAAATTTTGACACAACCTTGCATTCGAATACGCGCATGTTTTTATATACCTACTATTATATAGATGTCACACCTGTGACAGGTAAAAATATGTCTTTAAAAAACAGCACCATCTGTTGGACGTAAAAGCAACACACGCTTTTACCAGACTGAGCCACAGAAACGCGTGGCAGGGTACAGCTAGTAATAATAATAAAGTTGGGACCTTGGAGGTCTTCTAGTCCAACCCCCCTGCTCAGGCAGGTAACCCTATACCATTTCGGACAACTGGCTGTCCAGTCTCTTCTTAAAAACCTCCAGTGTTGGCGCATTCATTGCTTCTGGAGGCAGGTTGTTCCACTGGTTAATTGTTCTAACTGTCAGGAAGTTTCTCCTTAGTTCCAGGTTGCTTCTCTCCTTGATTAGTTTCCCTCCGTTGCTTCTCATCCTGCCTCCAGGTGCTTTGGAGACTAGCTTGACTCCCTCTTCTTTGGGGCAGCCCCTGAGATATTGGAAGACTATCATGTCCCCCCTCGTCCTTCTCTTCATTAAACTAGACAGACCCAATTCCAGCAACCGTTCCTTATTATCTTTTAGCCTCCAGTACCCTAATCATCTTTGGGACAAGCATCTTTAGAAATAGGCTTCCGGGGGGTAGACTTGATTGGCCCTTATGCCACTGAATACCCAGAGATTTCCCGGTGATCTTGTTGATACAGCCTGCAGCAATTAGGCCTCTGGAGAAATGTGGTTTTATACCACAGACAGAAGGTTGGGGAGTGAATGGAAAAGGTGTAATGGCAGAACAGTGGCAAATTCAGCTTCGGGGATTTCGGCATCTACAGATTTTGCTGCTTGTCTCCTTAGCCGCTACTGGCCACTGCTTGCGCAGGATGAGGATAAAGAAAGGCAATATGTCTAATATGTTATGCTCTGTTCTGAGCTTTTAACTTGTCAGGGTTCGCAGTTTTATCTGCCGGTGGATTCTTTCTTCCAGACTTCTCCGAAGGGCCAAATTCATGCGATCATTTCAAAACCTGCATCATGAATCACTAAGAGGACGTTAAGCTCTAAATACACCCAATAAACAAGCATAAATTAGCAGCAACAGCCACTTATACACAGCCGGTCAAAAACTCTTGTCAATGTTTCCGGTTCACTTGGGGGAAACGTGATTAGCTGCATTTACGAATAAGCAAGCACGGTTAGCCTGCTTTGACACCACCCTTCAGCAGTTTCACCGCTCAATGCTGAAGCTGCATCGGGACAGATACAACACACCCGGTTTTGGGAGATTTGGGGGTAGCAGGTCGTTACCCGTGATCTCAGAGGCGACACAGCAAAGCGCAACCCTTCCCAAGAGCTTTTCGATTTGTCTTTATGCATGATGCACAACAAAGCACTCAAAACACTTCCCTTGGGATCTTACCGTCCTTGGGATCTTACCGTCCTGGGATCTTACCGTGCAACCGTTTCAAGCAAGGAATTTCAATGTAAGAGAAGCCAAACCAGCCTAGCAAGCAATACTTCTGACGGGTTTTTAAATTTAGACTTTTTGCCTGCCCTGCATCAAAATGACGTTACCCATCTTCTGGGTTTTCCCTGCACAGAGCAGCATATATGGACTCCTTCCTTTTGTGAGTGGGAGAGGGGAAACCTCGGAGGGGAACCGACGGTGCATCTGCCAAGGAGAAGGGGAGTCCTTACGGCTGAGCTTAGGCAAGCCAGGCCCAGCCCGGCAGAAGCCCCAAAGGCCAAGGGAGGGAGAGACAGAGGGCAGAAAATGTTGGAGGTTGACAAAATTAGCACAGTCACAAAGGAGGATCCGGATGGAAGAAGAGCTACTAGAACAATTAACGCGCCAAGTGGTTAAGGCACCAGGCTAGAAAGCAGGGGAGCTGCAAGTTCGAGTCTCGCCTTAGCCAGGAAAGCCACCTGGGTGATTTTTGGCCTCTCCCTCTCGCTGACCCACCTCACAGGGTTGTTGTGGAGGAGGAGGAGGACGAGGAAGAGAAGAAGGAGAAGAGGAGGAGAAGAAGGAGAAAGAGGAGGAGAAGAGAAGGAGAATGAGGAGGAAGAGGAAGAGGAAGAGAAGGAGAACGAGGAGGAGAAGGAGGAAGAGGAGGAAGAGGAGGAGGAAGAGGAGAAGGAAGAAGAAGAGGAGAAGAATGATGATGAGGAGGAGTAGGAGAAAGAGAAAGAGAAGGAGGAAGAGAAGCAGAAAGGAAAAGGAGGAAGAGGAGAAGGAAGAGAAGGAGAACGAGGAGGAGAAGGAGGAAGAGGAAGAAGAGAAGAATGATGAGGAGGAGGAGGAGAAAGAGGAGGAAGGGGAGTAGGAGGAAGAGAAAGAGGAGAATGAGGAGGAGGAAGAGGAGGAAGAGAAGGAAAAGGAGGAAGAGGAGAAGGAAGAGAAGGAGGAAGAGGAAGAAAAAGAAGAAGAAGAGAAGAATGATGATGAGGAAGAGAAGCAGAAAGGAGGAGGAAGAGGAGGAAGAAGAGAAGGAGAATGAGGAGGAGGAGGAGGAGGAGAAAGAGGAGGAGGGAGGAAGAGAAAGAGAATGAGGAGGAGGAGGAGAAAGAGGAGGAGGGTGTGTGTTGAACATATTCTAGAACAGAACAACTTCATTGTCACTTTAAACGTAGGCTAATCTGCACACATTAAAGGGAAATCTTTAATTTAAGCTCTCTCAAAGGGAGAGACCCTCCCCACTTATTGGTAAAAACAATAAAGGCGGGATGGAGATAAACACACCCCCCCTCCCCCGTGATTTGGCTGCTTCTTCTGAAAGGCCGGATTTCCATTTAAAAGTCGCGCCCACGGGGGGGGGGAGGAGGAAGAGGGGGGGACCAGGGGTTCCTCCTCCTCCTCCGGAAAGGCCCACCTTGTCAGGCCGGTTTTCCCAGAGCCCGAGCCCCTCCCCGCCTCCCTCCCCCCCAACCGAGGGGCCCGAGGGAGGGGGGGCGCTGGGGGGGGTCTCCGCCGACCTTCTTGACGGAGAGCGAGATGTTCTCCAGGATGCGGTCCTTCAGCTGCGCGGGGGGCTCCATGGCGGCGGCCCGCGCTCCCGGCCCGTCCTCCTCGGCGCTCCCGGGCCGCCTCCGCCGCCGTCGCCTCCGCCGTGGGGCCTCCGTGGTGGCGCTGCGGCAGCGGCGGTCGCCTCAGCAGGGAGGGCGGCGGGCGAGCGAACCGGCCCTCAGCCCCGCGTCCTCCTCCTCCTCTGCCGCCGCCGCCGCCGCCCCCCTCGTGACCGCGCGAGGCACGCGCCCTCTACATCAGCGGCGGCGACGGCGCCGAGGGCGGTCGGCGACGGTCTCGCTCCGTGCGGCCCTCAACATCAGTCCGGGGCGGAGGACCGGAAGTGCGAATGCGAGGTTGCTGTCGGGACGCTCCCTCCGCGGGGAGAGGAGCCCAGAGTCGGCCCGCAAACTGTGGACGGCTCACAGATACCGTCCCCATCCGGGCCTTGGCCCCGTCATGACTGGTGGACTTCAACTCCCAGAATTCCTCAGTCAGCCACGGCTCAGCTTGGAAACTCTCCCTTTCCCCTCAGCATGGCTGGCTCAGGAATTCTGGGAGTTGAAGTCCACAAGTCATGAAGGGGCCAAAGTTTCCCTCATGCTGGCTCAGGAATTCTGGGAGTTGAAGTCCACGAGTCATGAAGGGGCCAAAGTTTCCCTCATGCTGGCTTAGGAATTCTGGGAGTTGAAGTCCACGAGTCATGAAGGGGCCAAAGTTTCCCTCATGCTGGCTCAGGAATTCTGGGAGTTGAAGTCCACGAGTCATGAAGGGGCCAAAGTTTCCCCCATGCTGGCTCAGGAATTCTGGGAATTAAAAGTCCACGAGCCATAAAAGTGCCAAAGTTTCCCTCATGCTGGCTCAGGAATTCTGGGAGTTGAAGTCCACAAGTCATAAAAGAGCCCAGGTTGCCTATCCCTGATTATGGAGGATTCTCCTTCATCCAGGTTGTGGTTGTCCCAAAGGTGCTTTTTTTTTTTCAGGAGGCATCTGGACTTTCTCCTTTTTTTCTTTGAAAACGTTTCGCTTCTCATCCAAGAAGCTTCCTCAGCTCTGACCGGATGGTGGGGAATGGAAGGATTTCCTCATGGTGACACTGGCAAACTTCCAAGTGGCCTCAATGACCCTCTAAAACAGGGGTCTTCAAACTTGGCCCTTTCATGACTTCTGGACTTCTGTTCCCAGAATTCCAGGCATGCTGGCTGAGGAATTCTGGGAGTTGAAGTCCACAAGTCATGAAGGGGCCTTAGTTCCTCCATGCTGGCTGAGGAATTCTGGGAGTTGAAGTCCACGAGTCATAAAAGAGCCAAGTTTGAAGACCCCTGCTCTAAAAGAAGGCAAACGACCAGCTGTCCGCAAGGAATATAAATCCTTCCATTCCCCACCATCCGGTCAGAGCTGAGGAAGCTTCTTGGGTGAGAAACATCTTCAAAGAAAAGCAAGAAAGTCTAGGTGCCTCGTGGAAAAAGCACCTTTGGGACGACACCTGCCAAGGTTTCACCCGTTGTGCCGGTTGGGCCTGCTGGGTCACAGCGCCGCAAGAAGAGGCACTACACACACCCAGCTGGCTGCGGGCAGATCAGCCAGGCAGCCCAGGAGATGCCAGTTGCAAGCCTGGCACTTGCCAGCTTGAGCAAGGGAGAAGATGCTCCGGGCGCTTCCAAAACCCGTTGCACCACTCAGTGGGCGCTGCCCCGGGCTGATTTGCTGGCTGGGTCCCTCACCCATCCGGTCCAGAGGCAATAAGCAAGGCAAAAGAGGTCAAGGGCTGGGAGCCATTGACCTCATTCCATGGAGCCATCCTGCTGGGACAGAAGCCCAGCCTGGATGTGGCATCGGTGCCCGGCTGGTGAAAGGAATCCTGACTGGCAAGGTTGCCTTGGCTGGGCAAAAGCGAATTTGGGGGGAAAGCTACAGCGGTGTCCCTACTTTTGCCACCAGAAAGGAGGTGCCAACAGCACACAAATACTGCCTTCCATTCGCCTCCTTCCTCCAGTGCCCACCAACTGCCAGGCCCTCTTTGGCCCTGCAACCCTCCGATTTGGCTGCCCTTGAGCGGTAAAGATCTATCGGACAACTGCTCTGAGAAAAAAAAACACATCTTTATTTTTAAAATCCAAAACGTTTACATATTTCTCCCAGTTGAGAAGCAACCTGCCCCCCCCAATATGTCCTTATTTTTGGGTTTAAAAAAAAAAAAAGGAAGATGTGAGCTACAAAGATGACACCTGATCATCGGCAAAGAGCCCCACCGTCTCCCGGTACCGCCCAGCACTAGCCGAGAGGGCCGAAGGAGGGCGAAAGGCTGCGACAAGGCAGGCAGATTCCTGAGAGAGGCTTCGGCCGCTGGGTGTGCCAAGGCACCCGACTCCAGGGTGGCAACCGGCGGCCCAGGCGTCCACTCGGTGTACGAGGGAGCAAGGTCCAGACTGCTCCTCCTTGAATTATACGCAAACGCTCCGTGGCGGCAACTGCTTTGCGGACGCTCACAATAGGAGCTGAAGCCGCCAGGACCACCCTCCAGTCGGGCTCTCTCTCTCTCTCTCTCTCTCTCTGCCAGGAAGTGCCACTCTTGAAAGTCACAAAAAGGTGCGTTTCCAAAAAGCATCGCCTCCTTGGCTGGGCTTCAGGATTCTCCTGCCCTGTTGCTGCTGTAACCCAGAGGTTTTGTCCCTCTGCAGCACACATGTCCAGAGACAGGCACCTGCAGGGGGACCCCACAAGGGAACCCCTGCCATGCAGAAACCCCCTCCCCACCTCCCCATAAAAAGATTGTGGGTCTCCCCACTGCACCTCCCCTGCCCTCTTGAGATCAACAATCCCAGCAGCGAGCCACAGCGTTGTCAAATCAAAAGAGAAACACTGCTTATGTGGCCCCCTCATTTCAAAGCTCCCCGATTGCGCTGAATTATGGGGACAGGACACGATTTCCGCCCGATTTCTCCAGCGGCAGAGCAAGTTCAAGCCTTCAGGAACAGAAAGGAAGCCCCCCCACCCTTTCTTAACTTCAAGAGCCAGTCCTGGCTGTGGAATCAGGGCCGTCAATTCTCTCCAAAGGGGTGCGTTCCTGCCCTCTTACAGCTGAAAGTATTATCAGCAGCCACAAATTCCCTTTTTTTTTTTCATTTCAAAGGACACATCGTTAAGGGAGGCTCCCAGCAGGCAGACCCCTGCCCTAGCATCCCCCAGGGAAAAATGGGAAAGCGCCAGCTCCTTCATCAACCTTCTCTCTGACTTAGCTCTGCTATCCCACCAAGCCCGGCACCGTCATGCCAATCCACCCCCCCACATCCAAAGCTGCTAAGCTGCGATTCGGCCTGCACCACAAATGGCCAAAAGCTCCCCCCCACCGGTCTCTTCCCTCGGAACCAGCCTTAAAACCCTGAAGAGCTGACCTTGTGGGTGCAGCTTTACCCCACGGTACCCCGAAAGTGCTGCCTCTTGGCGCGCTCTGCCCTGGAACCGATTTTCACCCACGGCTGCAGCCTAAGCAGAAGGGAGTCTTGGTCACACCGCTGGCACGCAGCGGTGTCCCTCCCTGGAGATAAGAAGGGGCTGCCACGTTCTGCCCCGACTCCTAAAGTCTCTGCCCCCCCTGGCACTTCACCGAGGCAAGTACCCCCTCGGAGCCGGGCCTGTAGTTCCTAAGCCCTACATTTGCATGCTGTTCTAAAACCGTATATTTAAATAAAGTTTATTCCAGAATAAGAGTAATGAGGGATGGCGGTTTCCGCACAATATTTGCTTCTTTTAAATGGCCAAAATTCATGAAAGGCAAATTAGGAGATGACCTGGTTGAAAATAAAGGGGTTATTTTCCTTTCCTGCTTTCTAAAGGGGGAAAAAAAAAAGTACAGCTGAATCAAACTTCGTCACGAGGCGCGGGGAGGAGGAGGAGGGGGGGGCTCTTCCAGAAAGGCAGTCTTGGCTACGTGGGGACCACGATGTTCCTGGCTAGCAAGATGAGCAGGGCCAGATCGGCGTTCCCCCCTGCATGCTCCAGAGCTTCTCCGGCTTCCTGGGGTGTAAAGCCAGCCCCCACAATCTGATCCAGGTTTGCAGCCAGGGCAGGAGGAGCGTGGGTCTCTGAAGCCCTGGGGAAGGACAAGGGTTCGGGCAGCTGCTCCAGATGTTGCTGCTGCTTGGCCTCTGCTTCCGGGGAGATGCTGGAGGCTCCCCCTTCTTTTGGGGAAGGGCTGCAGCTGCTCCGGGACGCCCGGGACTCAGGGTCCAGTGAGGCAAAAGAGCTCGGCCCCGATGCAGCACAGCTGGGAAGCTGCCCGGGGGATAAGCGCTGGGCCGGGATTCCCGGGCATTCTTCGGCCTGCGGCAGAGGCCACACTGGCAAAGGGCTTGCTGGGAGGGAGTCGCCACAGCCAGAGACCCTTTGCTGCCCCCCATCTAAGTGGGGCTCCTCCAGCATCTCTGTCGCGGCTGGGCAGGTGAGGGCCGGGTCCTGCCTCGCCTCATCCTCAGCCAGCCCTTCGGGAGGAGCCTCCAGCGAGGGGCGGCTCTCTTCCGGCCGACTTCGGAAGTCGTGCTTCGCACTCACGACCAGGAGGCGGTGGAGCTCCTTCAAGGCCGAGGCGAGGGAGATGCCCGGCTCTTCGTCTTGATCCCGGGGCCGGTCAACGGCGACATTTCCGCGACTGGCTGGGGGGAGACCAAGGGGCAGAGGAAGGCCGTGGCGTTTGTGCAACTCCAGCTCCATGCCGGGGTCCGGGGCGCTCAGCTCAGCCGACTCGAGGTGGTGTGGGTCCAAGGTCTCTGGGCCAGGGGGGCCTTCAAGCGAGTGGTCATCTCCTGGCGGGTGGGCCGGGGCCCCCTCCGGCCTCTCTTCGGCCCCTCGGGAAACCTCCCCTTGTGCAGCAGCGGCCAGCGGCGAGGAAGCGTCCCCCACGTGCCCAGGCTCCCTCCATTCGCCCGTGGGGGTCCTGCACCTCTTGAAATCCGGAGGAAGCTCCGCGGGCTCTAGCAGCAGGGGGGTGCCGGGCTCGCTCATCTCTGGGGACGCCCTGCCCGGGCTGCTCTCTCCCTCCATCTCCTGAGGCTCGGGGCCGGGATCAGCCTCATCCGCTAGGCAGCCGGAAGCAGCGTGTACGTTTTGGGAGGTAGCTGAGCCCCCCGGGGGGGAGTTGGCCCCGGCGCCAGGCAGATTCAGCGGGGAGGCTGGCGGCTTCTCACTCCCCAGCCACCCCCGGGGCTCCAGGAGAGAATCCAGGGATTTCCCAGCTCTGGGACTTTCAGGCTGTGCCCGGCCGCTTGGAGGGGAGCAAACGGCGGGAGCAGAGGCCGGGCGATCGAGCGATCGGCTTGCGGGACTGTCGCTAGTCTTCAGACCACGTTCTGGAAGAGAAACCGGAGGTTGAAAGCTGTCCGACGTTGGTTGTGAAGGAGCTTCACGTCGTGAGGTAGTTTCTGTATCGCTAGTCTCTGCGCACACAAGAGGAGAGAAGAAGGGGGAAAGGCAGAGTAAGAACCCCGAAGAGACCCCAGAGGAAACGGGGAGGCCCTCCGAGCGACAGCAGGGACAGCTGCCTGCCCCCCCCCGGCTTGCTCCCTTCACAAGGGGGTGCAAGCCGAAACGACTCTCCCCCACAACCCACCCCCAATTGGTCTCCTTTCGCCACTCCCTCCCCTCAGCCTCCTTCTACACGGGGGGGGGGGGAGCCTGGAAGAGGCAGGCAGGCCAAACCAGCTGCAAGCAAGCATGCAAGCGCTGTAGCCATCAAGGACGACACCCCCTCCCCTTCAATTTCACTGCAGTTAAGGTCTTAACCGGCTGCGAGGGTCACTTCCCGACTTCCGGGGAGCCGCAGAGCCGTGACAGGTGTGGCGGAGAGCTGCAAGACGCCAGAAGAAAAGTGCTCTGCCATGCTCAGGGGGAGAGGGGGGGTCCTCCGGTTAGCCCGAGCCAAGCCCAGCAGGCGCCCTCCGGCACGCCCACATGCATTAGCCGAAGTAACGCCCAGCACTGCAGAAGCAGGCGCCGCTTTTCGAGCGGAAGAAAGCCAGGAACGCCGTTTGGCATCGAGAGATCCAGCCGAGCGATCCGGCTGCCTTGGGCCGATCCTTCGGACCTGCACCAGCCCGGCGTTCCCCAGCTGCCATTACTCCGGCAGGGGACAAGCTTTGGCCAGGAGCGTCCCGACGAGCCTCCGCTGCTGCTGGAATCCTCCGCTGGGCCCCTTGCGCGTCTCGGATCCGGGCCGGTGGTCCCCTACACCTCCCCCCCCTTGCAGGAGCCACGAGAGGGAGGAAGCGCCGGCAGTACCTGGTCTGTGGCCCCCTCCAGCGGCAGCAAAACCACACTACATGCATCTAGGCTTCTGGCATTCTGTTTGGATTAGGAGACAAACACACCAAAGGTGGATTAGCACACCACATGCACCGTGCTCCGGGGGGGTGGCCCAGCGGCCCTTTCTGCCTCCCTCCTGGCAGCTCCTCTCTGAGCGGCCGCTGGCTCTGCCGGGCGAAGGGCCTCCTTGCTGGCTCTAGGCTCAACTAGCGCTGACTGTCCTCTCGGTGCTGCTGCTGCTGCCTGTCTGACGGCCGCGGCTCTTTCTCCTTCCTGCGGTCAAGAAGGGCAGCCTGGCCGCCAGGCTGAAGCGCTCCAGTGCTCGGCCGGATGGGGAAACTGTCCTGACTGTCCAGCACATCCCAAATCCGCCTCCTGCGCTGCTGGACAATGCCGGCTAGGCCCGTTTGGCCTCGGCTGGCCTGGCTCAGATCCTGCAGGAAACGCTCTTCTCTCCTGATCCTGGATAGCTGTCCTGTCCTCTCCCTGGACTTTCTCAAGAGCTCCTCTTCCTCTTCCTCTCCTGAGCTGGCTGACCGGACGGGTGCAGAGCCAGCGAGGTTTTATGCCTGCTGATTCCTCCGTCCGAGGGCTCTGGACCTCCGTCACTTGCCCTCCAGATCCAACGTGGGAAATTAGAACCTCAGCCCTGAAGGAGGCCAGGCACTCTCTCTGTCTGTCTGTCTGTCTGTCTCAGTTCCTCCGCAGAGCTAGCCAGCTGGATGTGAGGGATGCGTGCTCTCCTCACCAGGTCTATGCTCACTCCGGTCCTTAGCAGACGCTTTGGGGAAACGGGGAAGCTGCAGTCGCGCAAAGATGGGCACTTTTGCGACCGACTGCAAAAGACAGAACTGCGTCCGGGCTGCTGAACTGCGCAGGGCAGCTGAGGGGGCGATGCCAAGGACCCGCGCTTCCCATCACACAAGCCTCACGTGGGGGCCAGAGAGCCCCCCCAGCCTATCACGAAGCAGTGGGTGACCAAGCAGCGCCAGAGGGCAAAGGGCCTCCCGATGCAGGAGAGCGGGGGGGGGAGGGGGGGACTGCTTGGGCTAAGGAAAACTCAAGACTAAGCTGAATCTCTTAAGGGAGAGCTTTAATACCAGGATATAAGGATACAAAAATCACTGCTTGGCTGCACCACAGAGCGTTTTTCTCGGGGGCAAGGGGGGGTGGGGTGGGGGGTGGAGCAGAGCTGCTATAAGAGGGTGCAAAGGGACTGAGCTGAGGGGCTGGAGACTGCGCGGTACTTCCTTCGCTTGGCTTTCCGCCGCTGGTGCCTGTGGTGGCCATCTTGCCCAATTCCACCTGTAACTTAACGGTGCCAAAAGAGGGGAGGATGAAGGAAGCCCCCCAGACAGACAAAATCATTTCCACTGCCTCCTTCTAGGTGTGTCAGTCTTGCCTGCCACCTCTCCCCACTTCTGGGAGCTGGGGGGAAGGGGGGGCAGTCCCAGAATAAGCCCCTCTGAGTCCACAGATCCCATAGGAGGTCAGACTCAGCGTCGGGGGGGGGGTTCACTCTCAGAGAGGACTCGGCAAGCGGGGTGCGGACCGAACCGCGGCCCTAGAGACAGCGAAGCCTACGAATTCAGCTGGGGAAAAAAAAAACTCTGCACGACACAAAGAGTACGTATTTCCTTCCCAGACGCTGCTGAGAATGTTTACTGGAGGGGAAAACGTGGCTAAAGAGAATGAAATTACTCACCTAAGCTCTCCTGCTTTGGATATAACTAGGGGGCAATGTTAAAAATCGCTGCTTAAAAGCCGCTAGTCGCAGCTCCCGGCAATGCGCATCCCTTCTGGGAAAAATCTGAAGGCAGTCAAAATTCTCGACGCTCCCACCAAAAAAAGGCCGCGTGGTTTCCTCTGTCGCAGCGCCATCGATCTGCCCCTCTCTTGACCGTCTCCCACCCCCTTCCAGACCCTCTTTTCCTGGGCGCTCCTTCCAAATTAAGAACTCTCCCTCAATTGAACAAGCCAGCGGCGTCTCTCCCCCCCCCCCCAATTTCAGCGCTGCAGGATTAACGCTGGCCTGAAGTCCGGTCAAACGCAAAGAGCAAAAACCTTCCACTTCTCCGGCAGGCACCCCACGTGAGCCAGCCTTGGGGCCCGTCCTCCTAGCCCGGCCCGCCTACCTGCTTCGTCGGCAGACTTCTGAAGGGCTTCGGCCAGCTCCTGATCGGCCAGCTCGTCGGGCCGCATGTCCTCCCGGCCCGGCCCGTAAGCCAGCTTGGCACATTCGGGAAGCTCTCCTTCAGGCAGGAAAGAGGTCTGAGAGCCGGTGGTGCCGATCACCAGCATGTTGTTCTTGAGGTCGATGGAGCACTGGGGAGGACGGAAGGAAGGCGAGGAGCCCCTGAGGCTGACCTTGGTCTGCTGGGGGAGCTGCCCACCAGGCCAGGAAGGGAAGCAGGCCGTCCGACGCTCCTGCCTGGGAGGGCCACTCCTGCCAGCCTCAGGGGCCCGCTGCTCACCTGGTGCCTCTTCAGCATGTCCAGGCCCAGCAGCATGTCCATGGGCTGCTCCTCCAGGATGGAGAAGGAGCACGGGAGGAAATCCCCCTCGATCTGCACCTGAGCTGCAGCAGAAAACATGGCAGGTGGGCGCTCCTTCCACCAGGAAGGAAGGAAGGAAGGAAGGAAGGAAGGAAGGAAGGAAGGAAGGTTCCTTCCTTCCTTCCTTCCTTCCTTCCTTCCTTCCTTCCTTCCTTCCTTTTTCCCTCTCGCTCTCTCTCGCAACGGTCGACAGAGGGTTCTTTGTGGATGGGTCCACGTGGGACGGTTACTATGCGACCCACGGGTGCGGGGCCCGCTACGGCCGGGTCGCGGCCAGGTGGTCAGCGTACTACAACGTGGCGAGACGTCACGCCTGGCTCATGATGGTCATCTGAGCACCTGCCAAGAGGGCACGCCAAGTTGAAAACATTCCCACCGGAGGGGGGGGAACGGGGGGGCTCTTCCCGAAGGAAATCCCAGCCCTGCCGTCCTCCCCACCCAAGGCTGCCCGGCATACTCCTGCCTCCCCCAGACCCTCCTCAGACGTGGGCCGGTCACGCCTGGGCAGAGAGGAAAGGGTGGGTGGGTGGGAGGCAGACGGACAGACCCGAGTCCACGAAGGCCTTCACAGGGTGGCCGTTGACCTTGCAGTTGATGTACAGCATCACCACCTGGCCAAAGCTCTCGGGGGCCTCTTCCATCGCGATGGTCATGTTCTCCTCAATGTTCTGCTGCCTGAGCAGAAGACCAAAGCCGGTCAGGGGCCTCCTTCGGCCAGCTCCCTCCAGACCCAGCCCTCCGCTCGGACCCCTCCCCCGGGCCTGCTACCTAATTTCCTCCTCGATCTTGGCCTGGGCTTCCAGGTCAAATGGGTCAGCGGAGAAGAGACGGATCCTCTCCTGCTCCCGGCGCGCTCGGTCCTGCTGCTGCTCCACCAGAACCTGAGTGAATTTCTCTGGGACACAAAGCGCAGGGTGGGGTGGGGTAAGGGGGTATGTGAAACCCATAGGGCAAAGGGGCAGCACTGCCCTTCCCCCTGCCCCATCCCTCCTCCACCCAGCCCCAGAGCTTCCTCCCCTCCGGGCAGGACTCACCCAGGTCCCCGCTCAGTAGCGCCTCGGCCAGAGGGGGGTTGCGTTCCTTCAGCAAGGAGAGCTCGTGGGGGTTGGCCAACAGCATTGCTCGCAAAAGGGCCGGGTTGTCGAGGCCCTGCGGTATGGAGGGCGGCTCGGGAGGGGCTGGGGCCCCCGAGGAATCAGGTGGGGCGGGGGCTGGGGGTGGCAGCTGTAGAGACTGGGACAACTGGGCGGACGTCCCCGGCACGGCGATGCTGCTGAAGTCTATCCTGGGCAGACCTGTTTGCGACGGGGGGGAGAAGACAAGAGCGGATCAGCCTGCGGCCGGAGGCTCTAGCCTGGTGGAAAAGGCAGGTGGATCTCGCAGGGGGATTCTGGACCGGGGCCACCTGTCCACGCTGGGCTTCAGATGGGCCGATTAGGTAAGCCTCCCTTTTTCTGACGCTCCAGAATTTGGGAAATATGACACCCCACTGTGCCCTCCAAAGACTGCCCGGCTGATCCGAGCAGCCGAGACAGGATGACGGCATCTGGGGCCTCTCTCAAGGAGAAAGCTGTGGAAACGGAGCGACAGCCGACAAAATGTTGGTTTATTACGACTCTGAATGCACCTTGCATTCTGCTCCTGCCTTCGTGAACGCTATTCCTGTGAAATACACTTTCGGGCGCACAGTTGTTGCAGGGAAAAACAGCCCTCGAGGACAAACAACAGGGGGAGCTGCCTTAAGTTCCCGGGAGGAGGAGGGGGAGGAGGGTGCGAAATCTGCCAGGCTTTCCGATTTACAACCGGCAGGTTAAAGGGACAGAAAGCGCAGGGACCTCTGACGGAGGCCGGCCAGTCCAAAGACGGGGAACCCCCGAGGAGGGGGGTCTCTTACCAGGAAAGGGGGCCGGGGACTGTGCCTGCCCATTCTCCACTTGCTGCAGGATCACCACGTCGCCATCCTTCAGGCCGTACGACGCCAACGACCGGTGGTTGTCGGTGAGTGGCTGCTCGCCGAAGATGATCTGAGAGAGACACAGGCAGCCGGTCAAAAGCAAGCGGCCTCCGCTGGGTCAGCAGAGTTGGGCCAGCCTTGGACCCCCAAGGCTATAGAGCGTGCATGCCTAGAAGGGCAGCCTTCTGCCCTGAGCACCCTAGCCACCCACCTCTCCAAGCGGCTTAACAAGAGCAGCCCAAACCAAGTTGGCTTTTTCCTTTCCAAACCATGCCTCAGGCTGCATCCTGGCGGAGGAATTCTGGGAGTTGAAGTCCACAAGTCCTAAAAGGGCCGAGTTTGAAGACCCCTGCTCTAAATGGGACCGCCCGCTGCCCTGCCTGATCCACCGTCTTCCGCAAAGCTTCCCCAGCCGATCTAAGGTGGGTAAAGCCATTCCCAGAAACGATTCCTGGAAGTGCCAGGAAGCGGATCCCGCTGG